GGAGACTGTGATTCAAACCCAGCTTTGACATTGACCTTGGCATGACCTTGGGCAAAGCAAGTCTCTGCTCAAGTGTCATCTTCCCTCTCTATAGAAYGAGGGTAAGGTGACCAGCAGGGAAGTTGACTGCCAAGGTTTTAAAAGATGTAACTTACGGRATGCACACGAGATTGACTGTGTTTGGGATACTTCCATCTAGCAAGCCTRGCCCCTTCATGGTCAGGTTTAGAGCTAGGYGTATGATTAAGGTCAGGGTCAGGATTAGGGATTGGTTTTGGTTAAGGTTTAGGGTTAAGGCTCAGGTTTCGGTCTCTGTTCTGGACCTCCCTGGAGCAAGAACACTGAGCTTCTCTTACCAGCCAGAGTTCTAAGCAGGAGTTGTCTATTGATAAAGTAAGTGGCCCGWGATCAAACTGGGAAAATTAGGAGGACTGCAATTTATTCCAGAGAAGCAACGCGGCTGAACGAGACGCAGCGGACGGAGCTGCCCCTTTGTTCCTAKGTGAAACTGATGTTTTCCAAGGGCCAAGCCTGTGAATGTGCCGCAGTCTGAGTGTTTACCAAGTCTGTCTTGCTGTATACTTCCCTGGAGGAGAGTGTGCACGGAGTGGGAGGGCGGAAGTGTGGGGTGCAGGTGGAGAGGAAGTTGGGGTGCAGGTGGAGAGGTGGCTGGAGATGGAATGCAGAGTCCAGAATTTGGAGCCCAGAATATTCCAACCTTAATGTTGACAGGTTTGGGAGGAGGAGAAGGAGGTCTTTTCTTAATTTCCTAGGGAGAAATTAAGGAAAGAGTCTGTTTTTAACTGAGGTTATTCCTGAGAAATAGGAATATTCAGTCTACCTATGACAGAAATCTCGGAAAAGCTTATTAGTCCTGGTTCCTACCAGCGACAGTCACGTGTCCACTGTGGTGATGAATGTGGTGATGAATGTCCCTGGGTCATTCATCCAGGTGTGGAGCCGGTCCCTTAACTTCTTTGGGTCTGTTTTTACAAACTGTAAAATYGGATTTTCATTACACCACAGAATTGTCATGAGGCTTAAATGAGGCAGAGGGTTTGAAAAATGCTTTGGAAAGTATYTTAAGGTCCTCCTACCATTTCCCAGGCTTCTTTCTATTTTTCTGGAGATGACAGAAATCAGCACAAGAATGGCCTCTTGTTAGGCAGGACCCTCAGCTTGGGGCAGTGACCCAAGGTGGGTCAGCCTCCCAGACAGCCCTCCTCGTTCCCAGAGGCCAGAAGGCCAAGGGCAGAACACGGTTCCCTCCTGCCATCTGAGTAGGGCCCTGAGGATTACTAGGTTTAGCAAATAAAGATAGAACCTTCCACGGAAAGATCTCCCATGTCCTTGGATAGGCAGAATCCACATTGTCAAAATGGCCATCCTGCCCCATGCTATCAAAAKCTCTATACATATTTAATGCAATTCCTATTAAAATTCCAAAGTCATTCTTCCTAGAAATAGAAAAAGCCGGCATTACGTTCATTTGGAAAAATTAGAGGCCAGAAGAGTCAAAGAAATCCTTCGCGGGAAAAGTGAAGCAGGAGACTTCACGGTAGCGGACCTTGAATCACACCCCAGAGCTGTAGGAGCACAAGCACCAGGAGAGACGGGAAGACCAGGAACAGGAGGCCCGGAGACGGCCCCTCTCACTGYAGCTCTCTCACGCTGACAGAGGCACCAGGAACGTGCATCGGAGAAAAGACGGCCTCTTAACAAATGGTGCTGGGAAAAGGGGAAACTGGCAGGTCCTAGAATGAAATTGGACTTCTATCCTCCCCCTGCACGAAACTCAGTTCAAAGTGGATCAAGGACCCAGGCATTAGACCCGAGACCCTGCACCTACCACAAGAGAATTTAGGCCCAACTCTCCATCATTTGGCTTAGGGACTGATTTCCTCAAAAAGACGTGTAAAGCCCCAAAAGTAAAATCAAGAATTAATAAATGGGACGGTATAAAACTAAAAAGCTTCTTCCCAGCAAAGGAAACGATTGATGTGAACAGAAAGCCTACCGGATGGGGGCCAGTTTCTGCCACCTGCACCTCAAATAGAGCATTAACCTCCAGGATTATATAGAGAACTCAACACAACAACAACAACAAAAACCACAATAAATGAGCAGAGGAACAGAACAAACACTTCTCAAAAGAAGAAATACAATCCATCAACAAATACATGAAAAAATGTTCAACATCTCTAGCAATTAGAGGAATGCAAATAAAATTACACTGAGAGTCCATCTCACTCCAGTCAGAATGGCGGTTATCAAGAATACAAGCAACAATAAATGTTGGCAAGGATGTGGGGGGAAAGGTCCACTCATACAATTGCTGGTGGGACTGAAAATTGGTACAACCTCTCTGGAAAGCAGTATAGAGATTCCTCAGAAAACTTAGAATGGAACCATCATTTGACCCAGCTATTGCACTCCTCAGTCTATACCCAAAGGACTTAAAATCAGCACACTACAGGGACACAGCCACATCAATGTTCATAGCAGCTCAGTTCACAATACCAAAGCTATGGAGCCAACCTAGGTGCCCTTCAACAGATGAATAGATTTTTTAAAATGTGGTGTACATACACAATGGGATATTACTCAGCCATGAAGAGAAATGAAATTATGGCATTTTCTGGTAAATGGATGGCACTGGAGACTATCATGCTAAGTGAGATAAGCCAGTCTCAACAACTAAAGGTCCAATGTTCTCCCTGATATGTGAATGCTAATGCAAAATAAGGGAAGGGGGATGGAAGAATAGAAGTTCATTGGATTAGACAAAGGGGAATGAAGAGAAGGGAGGAGATGGAGTTAGGAAAGACAGTGGAATGAATCCGACATCACTTTCCTATGTTCATATGTGTATACACGAATCATGTACCACCACAGGAATTGGATCTGAACTAGAATAAGTCATACTCCATGCATGTATGATATGTCAAAATACACCCTACTGTCATGTGTATCTAAAAAGAGCAAATAAAAGAGACATTTCTATTTCAGGTACATTTACATTTCAGATAAACCACAAATAATGTTCCAGTACCATGATGACTCATGCATTATTTGGGACATTCTTCAGAAAGTTCTTATCTGAAATTCAAATTTAACTGGATGTCCTATATTCCATTTGAGGAGTCTACCACAGAGGCCAAGTCCTATCCCACCCCCTTTGGCCATCCCGAATAGCCTCAGCAGCCCTCCTCCCTGGGGAAGACAGCAATTAGCATCAGAAACAATGTTTCTATCTTTGGCAGAACTGTCCCAGACCTCCCCGTCCCCTTCTCCTTCTTCCTTCTCTCCGTCTACCAACAGCTCCTCAGATTTGCTCTGTTTACAGAAGATCTTGAGTTCAGCAAACCCTATTGGTGGGTTGACCAGCTCAGGTTGGGGACCCAGAGTGCTAGAACTATCTGGTGGGTGGTTTGCATCAAAACAGGCCAGTAAAGCAAGTCTCTGAGGAAGTGCAGGTGGGAGAAGTGGGTGAGGAATTCCCTGGGAGCAGGTCATCGGGCCACGCCAAGGTCCCGGGGCAGCTCGGGGGCCTTTATAAGGGTTCCAGGAGTGGCTGTCCTGGATCTGCATTCACCTACTCTCCAGGGTCTGCCTTGCTGCCTCTGGTAAGTGAGATGGCTCCTGTTCCCTGGGATTTGTGGGCTCTTTCCTTCTCCTTGAACTGCTCTGAGCCGCTAGGCCAAGCTCCTCTCCTGTCGTTGGGTAATCCAGGAAGTGACAAAGCTTCTTGACAATTACAGAAATGTGACAATAATTATTACTTAGGAAATCCAAATGGTCCTTTCACACCATGGCTAGATATGACATTTCCTGATCCGGGGCTTAACTCTTTAGCAAGAGAATCTTTCTCATGGAGAGGGAGGTAACTAGGGCTGCAGCATTTGGTCACAGCTCCGAGTCCCCTCTGGACTTTTCTCGTGCTCTGGTTTGCCTTTGGGCCCTGCTGCAAGCTTCAAGCTTTGCTGTTTTAGGTTTACAAAAGCAGTCATACTGGACACTGCATTTCATACTGCACGTCCCCCACACCTTGCTATTCCAGTTGCCACCCCCCCACTTGATGGGACCTATACTTCCCATTTATAGTCACCAATTTAAAAGATACGGAGTTCKGCCTACAAAGAAAGCCAGAGGTCCTCATGAGAACTAAGAAGGCCCCAGAGAATGTTCAACCTGTATTCTTCCTTAAGGGCACAGAGGTTCGCGGAAAGCAGAGTGCCCGCAGGTACCCGTGGCCAGCGACTGGCCGGTTTGCATGGGAACCCAGGCCAGAGCCTGGTGGTTCAGTGCTCTTTCCTTTGAACCAGGCTGTCTCTTGTTAAAACACCCTCCTCGGGTACTTTGCCTCTCGTGATATATTTGGCCCTCATGGTCCCCAGTTCTCATGGAGGACTGGAACCTCCATGCGACAGCCATGTTCAGTGACTCCCCTTATCATGCCGAGGTGCGTTGGGGGCGGAGTGGGGTTTGGGAGCCAGGCATCTGTGTCCCTGCTTAGCGCACCTTCACACTGCCCTTTGAGACAGAGACTGCTCTGCCTTCTTCCTCATCCCTCCCTCCCTTCCTGTCCACACTCACCATCTGCACTGTCCAAGGTGGCCAGTTGACACGCCCAACAGTGAAAATCTCGCTCCTTAAACTTTCAAAAGGCTTGGGCTTCCTTGGACCCTCAGTCCCCCACCACACCTTATTTCCTGGTAAGACTGAAAGCAAATCATGTGCTCAGTTCAATCCGGAGTCCATGGGAGGGCCAAGGAAGATGGGAAAGCTGAACAGCCCAGGAGAAGGAAGAGGGGAGAGGGGGAGGACCTGGTGGGCGGTGTGTCCATCAGCCCACTGGTCACCTCGAAGCAGTTGATCATGGGTCCCGTGCCTGCCTTTGAGAGCAAAGCACCCCTCTGAGAGCCAGGCAGGACCGAGGGAGGGAGCCCGTCTCATGCACCCTCCGTGGGTTCCCTGCAGATTCACCTGTTCCTGGAGCCATGTCTTCGCAGCAGCAGCAGCAGCAGCAGCAGCAGCAGCAGCAGCAGCAGCGCTGCCCACCCCAGCAGGTCCAGCAGCAGCAGGTGAAGCAGCCCTGTCAGCCGCCGCCTGTCAAATGCCAAGTGACCTGTGCATCCCAAACCAAGGATCCGTGCGCTCCCCAGGCCAAGAAGCAATGCCCACCCAAGGGCACGAGCCAGCAGAAGAGCCCCTCATCCCAGCAAACCCCCAAGAGTAAACAGAAGTGAGGGTGGTGGGGGCCACCACCTGCTGCCGTCCAGGCTACCGAGGGGGCCYGCCCCCGCCCTGCTCTTCATCCCCCAGCTCCAGATCTCCCCTCCTCCTCCTACTGGGGTCCGAGGAGCCTCTGTCAGAAGGCCCTCCCGTTGCACCTCTCACCATGAGCCCCTCTTGGGCTCCAGGGCCTTTTCTGTATCCCACCCTGAGGGTCTCCCAGGTGGGCTTGAGAAGGAGCTCCTCCTCTCCAGCCCCCAGTTTGGCCGTACCTGTGGCCCCTCCATCTCCCCAGGCAAGGAAACTGTCTGGGCTTTTCCTGGGGCTCTACCCTGACAAGAGGGTCCCGTCAGAGCGGATGCATAGCTTCCRCCTCAACCCTGTCCCCAATGCCCCCGTCTGCACTTCTCTTCTGTTTACCTGCTAATAAATTGTGCTTCATGTGGTAGATTTGTCTGCTCCCTGGGGTGACTGACCCTTCCCACTCTGGGGCCCAGAAGTAATATTTGGGGAACTGAGTGTGTGAGGAATGTTCCTGGGAGYTCAGAGCATCGCCGTCCGGGCACACTTACCACACTTACTCTGCTAACGACAGTGGGGAGGTCAAATCCGACACGTCTCCAGTTACAGATGAGTGTGAGCTCAGTTCTCCACTCGGCCCAGGCTGGTTTCCCAGAGCTATCCTGAGACAGTCGGTCCTGAATCTCAGGCTCCTCTTTGAAAGTCAGTCATTTTCTTATAYAGGAAAATCTCTCTCCAGAGTTTGTTCAAAGTATGCAGAGCTTGGTTTGGGCAGCTTGGCCTCACAGACGCCCTATTTTTGTAGTTGGGAGTCTGACCTTCCTAACTTTAGCATGAAGCTAGTTTGCCTATAACAGAAAGAAGCAGCAACCCCCCAGGTGTAAACAGAGACTTGCCTTTGAAGGGAAGAGCCAGACACACAGCCAGACTTCCCCTCTGGGCTCTATTCTTCTCTTGGGAGCCGCTTACTTCAATCTTAGTTGCCACCACTGGCAACACCGATAAAAAGTTACTTCCTTTAACAAACTGGCCTCAAACACAATTACTAACCACCTTCTCCATTTGCCCTTAAAAATCACTCTCCATGGCTGACATTCCTCACCAATAATGACTTCAAACTCAGGGGGTGSCAACGTTAAACAGGAACACCCAACTTTGCAAATCCAGGATTCACGGGCCKGGGATGTGATCCAGTGCTGGAGCCCTTCCTCGGCAYACAGGAGGCCCYGAGTCAATCCCCAGCACCCAAGAACAAACAAGACTCAGAAATGCAGGTCTCAAACCCCAAGAAATCTTGGGCAGTCTTTCTGCATCCCAATCCCCCATCCTGAAATAGCTCCCCTCGGTCGGTCAAAGACTGGGGCCTCCTGTCCTCCCAGCCCCRACCAGGTCTGCGTCCCGTGGTTTTTAGAGCTCTGTCTCCTAGCAAGGCCCTGGCGAGTCCTCCCACAGACTTTTGTGTTCCAGAGCTCACAGAGTCACAACAGCTTCAGCTACTTGGACAGACTTGAATGGAAAAAAAATAAAAATAAAGAAAGCTTCTGCATTGCCCGCGGCCCAGGTTATTCACTCCGTAGGGAGAGAAAGATACCAAGGCGTCCCCAGCAATGGCCAGGGACAAAGTCCCATCTCTTTGGGAACCTGTGATTAGCCATTCAAGAAATCTGCTCATGCGATCCCTCCATTCTAAGGTCCACAAGACCACGCTGACTTATACCAAAATCCCACCGGAGCCTRCGGTGAGAGAGGTGGCACCTGGTTCCCTTGCACATAAGGTAGACATGGTCAGAACACAAAGGAATGTTTGTTTCAACTCCTTCATTGACCAAAAAGAGAACCCAAGGACTCTCCTAGGTGCACATGGTAACAAGTGTCTGTGGCCCCAGCTACTCAGAAACCTGAGGACAGAGGAGCACCTGAGCCAAGGGGTTTGAGACCCTGCCTCAAAACAAATTCTCCCCCAGTTTCTGTGTACTTTACAGTATCAGAACTCTTGTATCACACCAAAATTCCCCTTAAGACCCAACCACACCACATCYAGCCACACCAGATAATCCACGGTTCTCCAAGTGTATCGTTCCGTTTTGATGCCATGRTCTTTCATTCATGCCATTTCTTCTGTATAGAATACCAGTTCTCCAGTTTTTTTGTTCAAGGTATCATTTTAGCTATRAAATTTTGGTTCAAATATTTCCATGGGAACTCAACATTTTAGGAAGAACGGATAACTCCCATAAGCTTTCATGACACTTCATAGAAATTTTGTCAATGTGATTAAGCATAGGATCATTTTTCACTATAATCATCTTATGTGTTTAATTCTCCTGTTACATTATGACCCTTTGAAGCATAAGGAATTTATGGATCTCACTGCCCCCCAATGCACAGAAATGCTTTTTAGAAGTACAGAAGAAAGAAGTGCTTCTGAGTARAATAAGATAGCATTCCAGTGTACCTCTGCACCAAAGCTGTGAGTTCTCTGCTCTTCCCTGGGGTCCTGGGGATCCAGAGCTAAGCTGTGGACTACAGACAGAGCACCAGAGTGAAACTCTGGCTTTGCACTGTGGAGGACCCTTACTGCAAGATTCATTTTGGATCGACATTCCCGTGGCTTCAGCCCATGATTCCCTGACCACAGAACTGTGGACCTCTGTTAAGGCATAACATGCTGACAGGGAGCTCAKGGTAGAGCAGAGATGCTCCCCTCATGGTGGCCAGAGAGCAAAGAAAGACAGAGACAGGAGCCAGGAACAAAAKAAGCCTGCAAAGGAATGCCCCCCCCATGTCCCACTCCCTCTAACTGGACCCCACTCCTGTTTCCACTACCTCCCAACCGCGACTTGAACTGGAGACCAAACCTTTAGCTCATGTTCTTTGGGGGGACATTTAAGATCCAAACCATAACATTCTGCCCCCCCAGCTCCCGAAAGTTATGCCTGTCTCCCACTTAAAATGCATTAAGTCCACCTCCAAGGTCACTATGTTGTGGTGTGAACTGATCAATATAATCCATAAGTCATAGACATSGGTTATAGATTATAGGAATAAGGTAAGATCACATAGATAAGCAACAGTAAGACCTAAGTTCATACATAAGTTCATCAGGAGTAGGTCTAAGCAACAGAAAGAAAATCATGTAACTGTAACCCACGGGATTTAAGCCACAGGAAAAAGCTTTGGAGCAGTGAAAGGTGATACGTCGGCATGCCAGTACAGTCACAGATCGATACAGGCTGATAGGKTAATAGAGAGGTGGACAAGGTTAAGTCAGTAGAGTCGGGAACAGTTGTGTTAGCTTGATCAGGTAGACACAAGGCTCACAGACGTCAGTAGTAAAATGATGAGTAAAGGAGAGAACTGTAAGCATCAAGTAAGTTACTAGTACTGGGACGGCGGGGTGGAGCCACCTAGTTTATGAAAACAAAGTGTGGCCGTGGGGACTCCGTCTTAGCTGTTCTGGACGGCATCGAAGTTTTTTCTCTTACTGCTTCTGTGAAGAGGGACCTGCAGGATCCATTTCTGAGAAACAGAAATGAAAGCTGTCTTCTTTAAAAAAACAAAACAAAACAAAACAAAAAAAACCTCCTTTCCTGTACTTTGTACCCCACAGAATGTGCCCAACTCTAGGATATGGTGGCAGTCATGGTGAGCTACATCCTGGGTTTGGGTACATTTATGGGTCTACATGACTTTAAGATAGATTATCGCCCCCACTCAGCTGAAACACAGGATTCGGTTGTCTAACATTTGCTTGGATCCAAGATGCTGTTAAGCCAACTGCTTTTTTTTTTTTTTTTYTTAGCTTCTATAACTTGCTAACTGGAAAATCCCGGTCCTGCTTAGGTCCCACTAGTCACTGTTTTAACTTCTGTGACTGGCTTGCTGACATGACCCTAAACAAGTTGTGGTTTTCGTCCTTCAATTCCCAAGACACAGGCCAGGAAGCTGCTGCCTCCCACAGAGCATCCGTCTCTACGGTGGGTGACAGGCCCTGGCCAGGTAAATAGAGCTCTCTGCTGTTTGAATTCGGACTCAGAGTGTTTTCTGAGGCAGATCCCCATGACAACCAAAGTCGTAACTGTTCAAGCATTGCTGAAGAGGCCAAGTCCAAGTTCTCCTCTGAGAGTCACAGCAATCTTTTTACCCTGTAAAAATAAAAYAAATAAATAAAAAACAAATGACAAACTTCCAAAATATAATGGCACAGGGTAAACATTCCCATTAGAAAAGGGAAGAATGGAAAAATACAGCACMCCTTATGTTCAAAACACTAGAAAAACTAGGGAAATATTAAGAAAGGATCAAACCAAAGCAAGACCCAAATCCAGCGAGGCAAAYGTTGGATCCTGTAGCTCCACAACCAGCATCTGTGGTATAATAGGAGCCYTGAGGCCCCAGTGGCCTTGCTGGCCAGGTCACAGGGCCACTCCTTTGGGCTGGCTTTGCTCATTGCCCTGGCTATCCCTAGCAGACGTTCCAGTTCCCAGTGTCTCCAACTTGCTGGGGTCTCCAGCTCACACCTCCATCCTTTGCCTCTCGGGGACTCCCACCCTGCCACCTGCTGCCTTGTCCCCCAGGACTTCCYTTGACATCGCGGTGGGAGCCTCCGGGACCCTATAATTCTTGCAATCTGTACCCCTGCAAAACCAGGACCATGCAGGTGGATAGCAAGGTCCCCCAACAGCAGGAGCGGGAGGTGGGTCCACTTGGATGACAGTCGCAGCAGCTTCTAAGTTCCTGAGTGGCTCCAGTGGAAAAAGACCCCCTCGTGGCCCTGGGCAAACAGGACAGCCCAGAGCAATTTAGCATGGAACTCTGATCTACTCTACAGGTCAATATATTAGCTAAAATCAAAAAGACAAAACCACGTATTGGTAAGGACATGGGTAGTTTGGAACTTTCGGGAACTGCTGATGGCTGTGTAAATTGGACACGATTTCAAAACACAGTGTTTTTAAAGCTGAGCACACCACACGCGTCCACATTCGAGTAA